TAGAAAAAAGAAAAAAATGCTACAAGAATCCAATTTAATTTTTCATAGAAAATAAAAATAAAGATAAATAATAATACGCCAATTTGACCACTATTAGTATATAAAATGATTTCTTTCAAGATAGAGAAAGAAAGATAAATGGATTATAATTAATAGAAAAAAAATAAATTTTAATCATACATATCCATAGAATGTTAAAGTAAAGAACTATTGAAATGTGTGTGTGTGTGTGAAAATCTCCCAAAATCTTGTAATTAATGAGAAACAATTTTTAAGATTTTATATGAGTACATTCTACTTAAAAGTTAGTACTCCAGAGATTTTTACAAAAGTTTCTAGAAGTCATTAAAATTTGAATACCACAAAACTTAAAATTTCTAAAAAATTTAATTGAGTACACCCATATCCTTGCCTCATTTTTGTCTTAGGAGGGTCAAACACTTTGATTAATTGTATTTTTCAGTCCTCTTCCTCCCCGTCGTCTCTCTCTCTGTCTACCCCTTGTCTCGAGACTCTCTCTCAACCCATGTGTCTACAAATGAATCCGAACGTCAATTTTGTTTAATCCCAATTCAACCTCATCATACAAATCGTAACTATGAAATTAATGATTAAAAACCCCCAATTTTTCTTTAATTTTAAACACATGGGCCCACCTTTATCGTCTCCATCAATAGCAAACGCCGCCCTCCCTCAGCCGCCGTCGGCCTCCGGAGACGGCAGCAGCGGAAACTTAGACGACGCATGGTATGGAAACATCCAGTACCTGCTCAACATCTCGATCATCGGGGCTCTCACTTGTCTATTGATCTTTGTTTTTGTGAAGCTCCGCAGCGACCACCGCCGCGTGCCAGGCCCCACTGCCATCGCCTCCAAGCTTCTCGCCGTGTGGCATGCCACCAGCCGTGAGATTGCGCACCACTGTGGAGCTGACGCCGCCCAGTTCCTGCTAATCGAGGGCGGCAGCTCCGCCATCCTCCTCCTCCTTGCCACACTCGCAGTTGCATTTATTCTCCCCCTCAATATCTACGCCGGGAAAGCCCCAATTTCTGATCAATTCTCGAAGACCACCGTAAATCATATTGACAAAGGTTCGCCTTTGCTTTGGGTCCACTTTATTTTCGTTGTTGTAGTTGTTCTTTTGGTACATTACGGTATAAATGATATTGAAAGTAGGTTGAGAATAACCAGGTTTCGTGATGGGCACGGGAATCCAAGCGAGCCCAGCTCGAATTCAAGTGCCATTTTTACTATAATGGTTCATGGGATTCCGAAAACTTTAGGGTTTGATAGTGCTCCGTTGGTGGATTATTTTCAACATAAGTATCCTGGTAAGATTTATAGAGTGATTGTGCCCATGGATTTGTGTGCATTGGATGATTTGGCAACGGAATTGGTGAAGGTCAGGGAGAATATATCCAAGTTGGTGGCAAACATTGAGTCGCGGGGGCTGGTGGGTGAGGGCGAGTTTGTTGATGATGGACCTGAAGAAAGGGGGGTATGGCAGAAGCTGCATTTTCTTTGGAGGAGGTTGAAGGATTTGTGGTATCGAGTGGTTGATGAACTCGGTTTCTCGGACGAGGAGAAGCTGAGGAAGTTGCAAGAGTTGAGAGCTGATCTTGAGATGGAAATGGCAGCTTATAAAGAAGGGCGAGCAAGAGGTGCTGGGGTTGCATTTGTCGTGTTTAAGGATGTTTACACTGCTAATAAGGCAGTTCAGGATTTTCGCAACGAGAAAAGGAGGCGGATTGGGAGGTTCTTCTCGTTGGTTGAGTTGCAACTACAGAGGAACCAATGGAAAGTAGAGAGAGCTCCGTTAGCAAGTGACATATATTGGAATCATTTAGGATCCTCGAAATTCTCACTGAAACTGCGGAGAGTCTTTGTAAACACGTGCCTTCTGTTGATGCTTTTGTTCTTCAGTTCTCCGCTGGCTGTGATTGGTGCCATAACAAGTGCTGCGCGGATTATTAATGCAGAAGCAATAGATCATGCTCAGATGTGGTTGACTTGGTTGCAGAGTTCAAGCTGGTTTGCGACCATAATATTTCAGTTTCTTCCTAATGTTATGATTTTCATCAGCATGTACTTAGTGATACCGTCAGCTCTTTCTTATCTTTCAAAATTTGAACGGCATCTTACTGTGTCAAGTGAGCAGAGGGCTGCATTGTTGAAGATGGTTTGCTTTTTTCTAGTTAACCTCATTCTCTTGCGAGCTCTTGTTGAGTCATCACTGGAGAGTGCTATTTTAAAGATGAGCAGATGTTATTTGGACGGTGAAGATTGCAGACGAATCGAACAATATATGAGCTCGTCTTTTTTGTCAAGATCATGCCTCTCGTCTCTTGCATTTCTGATTACGAGCACTTTCTTGGGAATATCTTTTGACCTACTGGCTCCAATACCTTGGATAAAAAAGAAACTTCAGAAATTTCGAAAGAATGATATGCTGCAGCTGGTACCAGAACGAAGTGAAGATTATCAGTTACAAAATCACGACGTAGAGACCTTGCAGAGACCTCTGTTATCCGGAAGGGCATCTGAAATCTTGGTCGGGAATAGTGCATTTTCAAATGGTTCTTCTCCAACTGCAATAGACTTTTCTGGACATGATCTCTCTGATTATCCTCCATTCAGCAGAACTTCGCCAGTACCAAAGCAGACATTTGATTTTGCACAATATTATGCATTCAATCTCACCATATTTGCCCTTACACTTGTATATTCTTCATTTGCGCCTCTCGTGGTTCCAGTTGGTGCAGCTTATTTTGGGTATAGGTACGTCGTGGACAAGTACAACTTCCTATTTGTGTATAGAGTACGAGGTTTTCCTGCTGGCAACGACGGGAGATTAATGGATACCGTGTTGAGTATCATGCGTTTCTGCGTAGACATGTTCCTCGTTTCTATGTTGCTGTTCTTTTCGGTAAATGGGGACTCCACAAAGCTTCAAGCCATATTCACACTTGGGTTGCTAGTAATGTATAAACTTCTGCCCTCAGAGCACGACGGTTTTCAGCCTGCTTTATTGCAAGGTATACAGAATGTTGATAGTGTTGTTGATGGACCTCTAGATTATGAGACCTTTTCAAGACCAACATTTGAATGGGATACATGTAATTCATGATTCCTGCAATTCCAAATGGAAATTATGTTTTTCTTTTACATTAGACTATCTTCATGATCCTATCTGGTTTTCTGGTTTTTATTTCAAGTATTTTAAAGTAAATTGAAAGAGCATGTTCAGAAAAGTTAAATTTTTTAATAGTAACTCTTACTTTACTATTTAATAAGTAGCTTATTTTCAATATTGACCAATAAAAACCTTTTTAAGCCTAGCCAAACACGCTAGCTTGGTACACTCTGTGGAGCACATGGTTTGCAAACCAGAGATCACCAAAATGATTATTCGAGTACTTGCTGACAGAAAAGCAAGAGAGCCTCGGGGTATGCTTATGTTCTGTTTAGGTTATTGAGATTCTCGATCTCTCTTTTTAGAATGAATATATGATAAATTTGATTTTCGTTGACAACCTGGTGTTTTCTGCTTGTATAATAGCATAGTCTAAACAAACCACGTATATATAATAATTCTAAACGATTAGACAAATGGCAAATATTAAAAAGAGAAACGCTTGAATAATATGTAAAATGTTGGAAACAAATAATTCTGGGAAAGATTATTTGCCTTATCAGGCTTTGGCGCAAGAAAGGGGCGTAGAAAATTTTCTTTTTCTTGTGTCGTAAGAGTAATGGATTTTTTATGATGCGCATCAAAACTTCAAGAGGCACCATGACAATTTGATTCTAACCATGACTAAAAGAAAACTCAATTATTATCAAAGCGAGAAACCGGATGTTAATATTTGTTTAAGTTTTTTGTAGATCGTAAGCTATGGGACTTACAAAATGTGGATAAAAATGATGTTTGTCTTATAGAATGTGTGGATAAAAATGATGTTTAATCAACTTATAAGTTTAAAAAAGCTTAGCCGAACAGACTAGCAGGCAAGAAATGGCTTTCAAAATACTATGCACTACCAAAAGGCCACAGTGAAAAATAAAGCAATACGGCAGCACAATTATCAAATTCAGATCAAGTTATGCTGTTATATTCTCTACCATCTGCTTGGTGGTAGATAAATAAACATCCAGCAATATAAACCATAATCGTGCATAAAGCACAATTCACACTCGTTCTTATGCACGCAAGTGCCTTCACACAAGATGAAAACACAATATTTCCAATTTAGTTCTCAGACAAAACACCACACAACACAAAAGCATACATGTTCCAAGGTTGCTCCTAATACACACAAAAGTTTTATCAGTCATGATCAAACTACGCTGTCTGTTTATCCAGTTTACAATCTAGATGACATGATCAACTAGGATATGATTGTAAATGTCTACAGAAGATCGGAAGATCATTCATCAGCATTGCTAAATTCAGCCTCAACTGTCTCCAGTCTTTTATGTAAGCCCTCTATTTCTTCCTTACCGAACCAGTCTTCTTTCATCTGCAGCATCCAGAACAAGAGACATCCCATTATTATGGAAGACACTAAAAGAGCATGTTTGGAAAAGTTAAATGAGCAAAAGCTTTCTGCCCTTCACAAATTTAGATAAGTTAATATTTAGACCGAAAATCAATGCTTTCTTTGCAATTGTTGGTGGCTAATTAGTTTCTGCGAAGGTAAGGGTCAATTTTATAGTAGAGCCGTATGCAATGCACAAAAGATAATGTCAGTACAACAGGATTGAACGAAGACCCAATACCGGATGGGGAGCTTCGTTTGAAAGTAAAAGGTAGTTAAAAAAAAAAAAAAAACCTTATTTTTGAGCGAAAAGTTTCTTATTGAAAGTAACCCTCAACTGTCAAAGTTAATTTCAAAACTGTTTACTTCGAAATAAAATTTTAAGCTTAGACAAACATGCTATGCATTGGTTGAGGATACTGGCAAAAGATGAAAAAAGAACTCACGAAGTAAGGGTAGCCAGCAGAAGCGCTAAAATTTTCTGGTGCATTCTTTAAGAATAGGTTTGCATATTGCAGAACGAAAATGCCGCATTCTTCACCGTTTGTCTGTTGTGGAACCTGAAATTTGCTTGTTCAATCGGTTAAATTGTCTAGTCCAAATAACGTATCAAGAATAAATATGAAGAGCAACGTTACCTTAGGAACCAAGAGAGGAATTTTTTTCATTAGTTTCTTGTCCACCGGCCTCTCCTCTGTTTCATATATGTCTAAGACAAGCCTGCAGAAGGAAATAATAAACATGCAAAAAACATATTGAAATAAATTTTAGTTTAAACTATATTGCTCATTTAGAAAATACCTTCTTATTAGAGGTTCGAGCCCATTATCCAGTTCCCGCAGTGAATTCAGCAATAAAATGCATGGAGTTCTAGTTTTTGACGCTAAAGTTTCGCCCAAGTGACAAAAGATAACAAGATACCAGTGAGACCTAACAAAAAGGCATCCCAGTCAGCCAATGCAAGGTAATAAGTATAAATTTTGCATGAAAAAATACTTGAAAGAACACGTACCATAAAACAATGGGAACCAAAACATATTCTTTTGAGAATACATTGATTCTCTTAATCCACGTCAGCACCCTTTTTCTATAATGATCAGTTGTGTACATGGAAAACCATATGCATTCCATATACGTAAACAATTTCCTTTTCTCTTCAGGAGAATCCTCCCATATTTTCCTACATATTCCAAATTTCATTCATATAATATATAGCACATCAAAATACTGGGCAGTTCTTTAAATTACGAGAGTAATGCATAGAATAGAACTTACAGAAAGCAGCGCTCGAATAATTCATCATTTATTTTCCCTCGCAGGTTGGAGGTTGTATTGCAACCCCTCCTTGATCTACTAGCACGAAAAGAACGATGGACAGGAATATATTCCAAATCATCTGAATCAGTTTTATGTTTACATTTTCTCTTTCGACATTTGCATGGACTTTGGAGTTTTTCCACATCTGCTTCTCCATAATCCCCTTCTACTACAAATTTTGACAATTAACATTAATTGAATTTGAGAATCCCACTGATGACGGCACATATGGTTACTTACATCATATTAAAGTTACATCATATTAAAGATTCAGCGTTGATCATCAACACAAGACAAAGATAGGCCAACAATCTAACGTATCTTTCAATGTAGAAAACGAAAGGTTCAATAAAGAGAATAGCGTATCAGCAATGTGTCAGTAGAATTATATTTGGCTGCAATTTAAAACAGACAGAGGTTGGACTAGGACTTGAGACAGTATATCTTCCAAACAGCTTCCGAGATGGATAATATTTCACATCTTCATAATCATTTCCACATAATCAGACTTCCTGCCCAATTAGGGGCAAGGCTGGTCGTTACATGGAATAACCGGCTGCACTGGAATCCTTAAGCAACAAGCAATACTTCTCAAGTTCAATGTGATGGCAAAAAACTTCTTCTAAATTGTATCAGACGACTAAATCATGCAGAGAAATTACAAATACCACAAGAAGTGACCATATTAGAAGCAAGACAGCTAGACATCCATAAGATACAGGTAAATATATGCCTCTATAAAAGTGTATCGAGTAAATATGTTTTCAATTTTCTCTCTGATTTTTCCCACATAATTGACATACAAGTAAAATGTGCTTTCAAAAGACTCCCTTGGACCTGAACAAATTGTCAAGCTATTTCCACATGCCTACGCTTAATATCAGTTCTATTGGAAATTAGATATCTTTGTTAGTTTTCATACGTTTTCCCGTCCAGAACAACTTAAGAGGCGAATTCTTTTTAGACATGTATATCAGAAGTTTATGAACAAGTTTTGAATATAAATAATTTCATTACTGCAGAAGCTTGGCATCTCAAAGAACATGAAACTTGGTCATGGGTGTGAGTGCTGGGGGGAGGGATGTCATGTCATGATGATTGAGGTATAAGGCAGCCAATGATCCAAAATTAATACAAATCCCTCGTTTAGAATATTGATGATGTCATCAAGTTACCAGCCGTATGAAGTAACTCAGCAGTTTGCCTCTGTGCAACTCTTCCTCTAGATCTTTGTCCATGGGGAATACATGAAAATGGTGCCTTACTGTTTTCTGTCTTCTCGTCTCCACCTAATATTGCAAAAAGCAAAGCAATGTATTATACTCACGTATCTTCACCATTCATCAACATATACGTCAAAGATCCATTTGTGAAAATTGATCATCATCCCACAATGTTCCCTTGATTTCCACCATTTGAATTAGGGGGAAAACATATAACCCTGTTCGATAGAGATTTTTTTGAAAATAGATTTTCTGAAAAGTGAGATTTTTTGAAGAATGTTTAAAAGGTTGAAAATTTTATGATCCACGTGCAAAATTATTTTATTGGGAGAATGTGTATTTGGAAATGAGGTTGGAAAAAATAAGTTCTAGAAAATATGGGCCAAATCGGGGCATAATATATAATAGAAATTATCTACTAAGCAACATTGATATGACACATCAATTAACAGGCCGATCATTTAATTCCTAGGATATACCATGAACTTATCCACCAATTAATTAATTGTAACATGCAGTTGCTTTGCGTAAGCCAACTGCGCCTAGTGTATATATATTGTCACAAAAAACAAGAAATTTTCAAGTGAAGGTACGTAGGGTTGGAAGAAGTTGGCCATTATTTTATTGTAGTTTCTATTGCGTGCACAGCAGAATGGGTGATGCGGACAGTAAGCAGTGAATTGGTGGTTGGCTGTTTAGGTTATAATTTGGCTGAAAAAAGAGATTGAATCAAGAACGGTTTGGTCAAAGAGTTTGTAGAGAAATGGGAGCTGTCATATTTGACATCAAGTAAATTTAAAGTTTGTTGTAAATAGCTCACGAGAAGAAAAGCCAATGAACAGTTCAATTGCATAGGAAGGATTTTGTGACATATTAGAAGAGCTCTGTAACTTTCTGCAAAGATGCAAAATGTTTTAGCAGAGATTTTGAGTTGCTGGAATGAAGATAGGATGAGGAAGTAGAAAAGAAGGAAACAATCTCAAACTGGGTCGAAACACATCGCACAAGCCTTCATTCAACCTCTCTTCTTAGATCACATATTGCATATATATAGGAGAATGCCAAGACTACTTGCACTCTAGCCTAAACTAAAGTATAAACAAGACGTCACCAGATTATATTGGACGCTAACTAGGATAAGCTTATAGTCAACGAATCCAACATAATTAGAGTCTCAATTTTGATAAAATTCAAAACAATACAAAATAACGTAACACCCCTTGCTTAAAGACTAAGATAAAACACATCCATGAAGTCTTCTTAACAGTCGTGAGTAGAGTATTTATTCATACTTAAAAGGCAAAAAAGGCAATACAAGCTTAAGAGGTGGGCACCTAGCCTAAACGTTGAATCAGTAAAAATAAATGCAGCAAAAATACTCACTGGCAGACTAGAAGCTAAAGGGTTAATGAACATGTATTTCCATGTGATCTCAACGTACTCCTAATCAACATGCTTCATGTGTAGTATATTGTAGGCTCTTAATCACTCTAATAGCCACTATCATATTTGGAATTATGGCCTACGTTGCTTGGACTCTCCATTTTGGAGGAAGTACCCATGTAGACACAACTAAGGGATCCATGTCAGATCCCTTAATTCAGACAAGGATCATTTATATAGCTTTTGTTATTATCGTAAAGGATTTAAAATGATTTCTAATTAATATCTCACTTTTCTAGACTTGAAATGAAAACCAAATGAAGTATTACAAGTTGCAATTTAATTTTTTATTTTTTATTTTCAGTCAAACACATATAAGTGCTAGGTGAACATAAATTAGTGGTTTTTGTGCAACGTTAAAATGTCTTACCAGCTCGTTCTTCATTAGGCATCTGGGTAAACCCGCCAAATTAATTCAACATAAAGAAAGCTCATCAAGCAGATGACATGATTACTATACCACACCGGCAATATCCTACAGAATGCATAGCCACTATATATATATATATATATATATATATATATATATAGACACACACACACACTATAAATTGCATAAAAAAAAATATCAATATATAAGTTCCAAAATAAATTCAAGTTCATAAAACATGTCCAAGTAGCTATGTCTTAATTCTGAATCATTTTTAGCTATATCGCCACATGCTAGATTTTTAGAGAGAAAAAATTCGACCCCTATACATGTACCGAATTGACACCCGCCCCCGAGTCCAAGCAACATAGATTATGCCAACCCAAACTGTAAAAGTTAATTGCTAGAAATATATGGTAAAAAATTTAACGAAGACCAAAATTTTGCAATAAACTTAAGATATTTATTTTTTCCTTTTCTATGAATTTGGGAACTTTAGGTAAAAACTGAAACAAAAATAATAAAGATCTTCCAGGAAGAAATGATAAACCCTCTTCGCCGAAAAGTCAGTGTCCAAGTCGGATACTGACACACCCCGATATGCCGTGGTAAGTTCACTGACACATCGGAGTGGTGAAAGATAGCCAAAAAAATTTACTACAAAATCTTTAAAATTGGACTTACCATGAATCTCAATTGATTTATCCATTGTTTAAGCAAAATGCATAAAAGATTCTTTAGAAAGAGAATCCACTTAAGCCCTCAAAAAACCTGCAAAACAAAATATTTCTGATGATTTCTAGGGCTGGACATCAAAATGGCAGTTCCACTTCTAGATCTTACCCTTGGATCTCGTCGTTTCAAAAGTAAAATGGAAATCTAGCATGCATCTTTGGTATTTAAGGAAACTGAATCGCGATTTTCGGACAAATCTAAGCGCCTAAATGACGTTTTCTTAAATGACGTTTTCTTAGGAATTTATGGGTTCAAATGGGGGTAGAAAAAGAAAAAGAAGTATGCATCAAAGGGATATGCTTGGTCTTTTTAGTAGTCAAGGATTGCGAAGCTGATGTATTAATGAATCGAAGTGAAAAAGACTCATGTGGCGACCCCAAATTTATTAAAATAATAGTTTTTTCTTGTGTTTTTGTAACTAAGCCCAAAGCCATTTTCAGTTATTACGAATTTTATCTGGCTTCAAAATGGAGATATGTTTTAGGCCCTTTTAGTGAGCTTCTACCTGGGACCATTTTTGCCTAACTTAAATAAGTCCAAGCCTAGCATTTGTGGGCAATATCATATTCTTATAATGATCAAATCTCTTGAGAGTACAATATTAAAAGAGTATATATAGACACCAAAGACTTTCCAACTTGGCAAGATTCTAACAAGGAATTCAGAGATCCATTAAAAACTATTTTAAACCAAAGACTCTTCCTTCGCAAGAAAGCAATGTAAATCAAATCAAAATAAGGCCCATTAACTATAGATATTTACCTACGTCCGGCAATTAACAAAAAGACAAATATACCACCGACTCTAAATAAGTATCAAATCATAAAATTCTAAGACCTTTTAAGATTAAAAAAAGAAAATAACTTTCATTCTAAAAGTGCAGAATTAGTCTCAAATCTACCTAAATCTAGAACTCTGGATTATGCCTCCTTGTTAAATTATATCCCCTCATAACTTCCTGACAATAGTTTAAAAAAGCTTAACAAGGTACAAGGAGTTTTATCTTTGTAAGGCTAGGAGTAAGCTTTTAGGCAATTTGTGGCTTACGCCTCTCAACAAGCCAATAAAATATTTAAAATGTTATAAATATAAAAAAATATGCTCATAATAAGTCATAAATCATCTTAAAAAATCCATAATGAAACAACAAAGTAGAAATCTAACTAGCAAAATATACAAATTAAATTAATCAAATCTCAAAAAAGTCAATAATCACAAACAAAAATTATAATAGGAACTTTAAGGGAATCTTCCTCCTTACCGTTAGTTTCTCATTATGACTATCATCATCCTTCACTAGCTAACATGCATTGTCCTTTTCCTTCCCTTTCGTATAAAGACAAGAAAAAATGTATTTATAAAACTCGTAATATATTCTAAATTATAAAGAGATAGCCCAAAAAGCTTAGGCCAAATAGACAATGTTCCTAAATAAACCATTATATTGAAAGTTGTATGAGGCTTGCATCTTGAGGCGAGCTTCACGGGAAGCTTTATAACTTCCCTTAAATAATATTGAGGCTTATGATACTCGGACTCAAGTATGTGTATCGAATATAGGTATGTATCTAAGTGCGGAATTTTTTATTTCCTAAAATATGGGATATGAGGACATAGCTAAAAAGAGTCCAAATTTCGGATACGAGTATGTGAGTTCGTCTTCGAACTTCAGTTTGGTTATTTAGATTTCATTTTTACTTTGATATTGATGTATTTTTTGAATTTAAAATGATGAATTGAAAAAAAAAATGATTTATTGTATTATTTGAATATTTTATTAAACTAAAATATGTGTGGTGTAAAAACAATTACATTATTAACCCACTCATATCCATATTAAAAATGTCACGGGCTCCAATTAAACCATCCATATCCATATTATTAAGCCCACCCATATCCATACTATTAGCCCAATAAAAATGACTCAAGCTCCAATTAAACCCAAATCTCTTCTCTCAATCCTGCCGTCGTTGTCTTCTTCTTCTTCTTCACGATTTTAAGGTTCCAAGTGAACTTATACAAATAGCCAACAGATTTATTTTGGACCAAGGACAGCCGGTGCCAACCTGCTATTTCTTTAGGCCATGTTTGATAGCAACTCTTTTCCATGGAACTAGGAAATGCAATTCCATTTTCCATCTTTGTGGCT